TCAAAAAATTATTTTAATTTCTTTTTATAGTCCTCTACTATTATTTCTTTTTCAAACAGCATTTCATTTAACCTCCATCTAAAAGAACTAATTTTCTTTTTAAAAACCAAACTCACTGGGTTATGGTCTTAAAAAAACTTTGGTAGTATCTCTACTTTATGAACATTAGTAGCCAAATTCTTCAAAATCGAAATCATATCTATTCTTGAAAAAGATCTGTGTCTTTCAGAGAAATAAGTATACTCTTTTCAATTACCATGTTTGTGTCTCCATATGTCAACAAGCTCTAAATTATCCAGCAAATCAAAGAAAATCTTTGGTAATTTACCTTATGTAATTTTAATATTTTTCTCAGTCATTCTGTCTTCTTGTGGGGAAACCATTCCATTCCAATTCCCCATTAGACACCAATTTTCATAGGAAAAGTCTATTAGTCTACCCCTAAGTCCTTTATAAAATGTTACTTTGTCCTCATTTGGAGCATAAATTCCCAATATCAAAGTCTTAACCCCATACAAATTAACTTCCCATCATATCCACAATGTTCATAAGTTCTAGTTGTAGTTGGGTTATATATAAAACAACTCCATTCCTTTTGTTTTGTTTTGTTTTGTTTTGTTTTGTCCTGCTGAAATAAATTCTTCACCCAAATTTTTGTAAATCAAATATTTTGTCTCCTTTTTTCTAATACATGTTTCTTGTAGCAAATTATATCTTGTTATAATTTTTTCAAATAATGATTTTTTTTTCTTTTGAGGACCATTTGCTCCATATATATTCCATGTTAAGCGTTTGTACTTCATAATTAGGCCAAAAATTTAGAAAAGTCAATACCTGTAGCACCTAATGCAGTAACATCCTTTTCAATTTCCTGTTGCACCTGTTGAGACTTTTGTTTAGTCTCATCTGTCACTGTCACATCCATTTGTATTTCCTCCATTTCTTCTTTGAATTTTTCCAAGAATTCTCTCACTTTCTGCACACAATTCAGTCAACACCTCTGCTGTTTAAAAATAAAAATCACTCCTTCCAATTTGTCCCATGTCGATGTGTTCTTTTAATGGTGTTAAGTACTTAGAGTGTTGATAATCAGAATGAATTACAGTATGTGCACTGAGGATAATGTATAATACAACTTGACTTAAATCGAGTTAAGACCAAATGATATAATAAAATCTTTATCTAAAACTGTAAAGTGTGAAAGTAATTAACATTTTGATGACATGAGCATCTTTGCCATGAAACTCCTGAATGTACATTTGGTGAAAGCCCAGGTTATACAAAAGGGTTTTGGAATAGAACTAAATATTAAAGTGCTGCAGACTTTCAAGCCTTAATATGTTCTTCATGAGGAATTCATTTTCCAACACAAAATAAGATTCAAGTAAAACAAAATCATGTTTTGATCAGACTTTATATGATCTGTTATTCTCCAAGAATCAGGAAGATGCCATTTTAGATTTCAAATGCTTTTTATTTGTTCCTTCTCCAATGCAGTTTCCAGCCTTTTTCCTTTTAAATAAATCTTAGCATTAATACAGTAACTTAAAAGTGTGTCATATTTTCTATATCTAGTTCAATTTATGTTGTTCTTGTAAGTTAAGAGCAAATAAAGCAAAATACGAAATTATATTAAATATGTTGGAGACTCCTTCTGTAAGAGACATTGTTAAAGCTTTAACTTAACTTATTTCCAAAGGACTTCAAAACAAAATGTACAACTGATTGTACATCCTGAAAATAAAGAAGAGCAAAATTTAAAAGAAATGTAATAGGTCTTTAATAGTAATAGTATTGTAATAGTAATTTGTTGCTGTGTGTGTGAACTCTGAATGATGCTACCTGAGATCGCAGAGCCACTTGCAGCTGCAAAGCATCCTGCTTTGTGTGCCCCCCATATAATCTCTGTGGCCCCAACTGGTAAAACTCAGCAGTATTATTTATTGAAGAAGGAAATATGTGAAAATGGTAGCATTAGAATTAATGCTTAAAAACTGGCTGAATTTTTTTTTTTAATTCCCTAACCATCCCTCTCAGTTTCAAGAAGAAAACCAAAAACTCTGCTACTGCCCATGTGAGTGACTTCACATGACTGCAATGCCTGCTGCACTCCTCAGCCTTCCCAAAAATGTTAATTGCAGCCTTCAGTTACCATGAGATTGTCCTTTTCTTATATAGGAAATGGAAAAAAGAAAACTTGGCACTGCTGCAGATAATGAGTGATGGTACTCATGGAAGGTCTTTTTGACAGACTTTTAAGGATGGTTGGCAGCAGAGATATTCACACGCTCAAGATCACTTTCTGATCTTAAGCACTGCTTAAGAGCAGAAAGTGCCCAAGTCCCCAGTCTCATATTCAAGATAACATCCTCCCTCCAGCAATATGCACATATGTGCCTTCCTGAAGAGAGGTAAGAGTGCTGCCAGAAATAAAGGAAAATGCATGCTATCCAGTGGCCCAGAACTAGCAACTACATCCTGTCTGGCATGTTAAGATAGCCCTTTGCATCTTATATAATGTGTTATGTTGGTATGTTGTATTTCCATAGCAGCAGACCTGTTGTTTATTTTAATTACCCTAAACAGTGCTGAACATTAAAAGAGATTAGGGCTGGAGACTGAGTAGTAGCTACATTGGAAAACATTTGCACATTTGCTTGGTTTTTACAGAGTTTAATAGAATGGATGACTGATAAATACGTCTTGCAAAAGTTAAAAGAACTTGGATTGCTAACAGATGTTCTGTTTGTTTCCTCTCTCTTTCCCAGCTATCCATATAGTGAAGATTGTAGCCAGGGAATGCAATATATGAACACTAGATGTCCAGCTTGGTGTGACAGAATTCTTATGTCACATTCTGCCAAAGAACTCATTTTGAAGGTAAGAATTTCCTTGAAACAGTTGGGGATGTGTATGTATGTATGTATGTTATTATACAGTTAGTTGTATTCTACCCACTTCCATGGATTCAGGGCAGTTTACAAACAAGGGAAATACAAATCTTTTTTAAAAAAGTATACCAAGGCAGCCTAGCTCCATCATCCATATCAAAAACTTATCAGTACAATACTTTTTAAAGCCTTCCGAAAACATGGGGGCAGGGGGGGCTGAACCTCTGATACCAAGATGTTTCATATAACAAGTGCTGTGACCAAGAAAAAACAGTTCTGGGCCCCAATTCACCTCTTGAAGAATACAAATTCTTTCAATTTATATCCTACCTTTTCACCTGCTGGGTACTCAAGACAGCTAACAAATAGAAAAGTTTGACTCACTCCCTTATCACAACATGTATGACCTATTGCAAGTACAGTGGGTCTGCCTTAGAAGACAACATAGAAGTTCCCATTGGTGCAGAAAATAATGGCCTGCATGCTGATTAGTGAAAGCTAATACAGCTATATAATTTGGGTTGCAGGCTGTGCAATAGCTTCCAGTAGGCTTCTGAGTGCAATTCAAAGTGTTGGTTTTAACCTTTAAGGCCCTATATGGTGAGAGAGAGGGAGGGAGAGAGGAGGAGGAGGAGAAGGAGAAGAAGAAGTTGTTTAAAAGCTATATAGATGGCACACCAAGTTATACTCAGAAGGCCTGACTGAAGAGGAAGGTATTGACTCCCATCCTAAAAGCGAACATAGCATCATTTGGTTTCAGAGCACATCTCTAATCCTAAGCATTTGGAAGTAACACCAGAGAATTTTAACAGCTAAAGAACAAATGAGTGCTGTGATTGTTTGCTAAGGCTTGAACATCATAAACATCAAGTAGTGCAGGACATTTGTGAATGCAGCTCTGTGTCAAGGGATCTCTAGTACATTGAAGATCACGAGAGGTGGCAAGTACGGCCTCTTGTCAAAATGAATCATCAGAATACATATTGCTGTTTACTAGGTATAATTCATCCAAGACTTTTATAAGAAGTTTACAGTAGGCACTTGAGCTGGGTAGCTGCATTTCTTTCCTTTTCCAGGTTCATTTGCTAAAGCCCCAATGATAAATTTCATTTGGTTTGATTAGAGGGTATTTTTTTGTTCAGTTATTTAAACAAAGCCCTGGAGTTCAAGCTCTCTGTGTGTACCTCAAGAATAAAATAGTTCTTGATTTTAAATATCCACTACTTTCAGATCTCTGTTATTTAGAAGTGATCTTGGGTTATTCTGTATATCAAAATCCATTCATTGTATATGGACTCTATAGGACTCTATGTCAGCACAGTCTTTACAAATAATGTACCTACATTTTCCAGACATTCCAAACATCTCTTCAAGCAATAAATGAAATTGAACTGAACCTTCCCTTCCTGTTCACCTTCACCTAATCTACCTCTTTCTACCGCTCTCTCATACACACACATATATATATACATACACAAATTCTGTTTTCCTGTGCTGTAACCACATGGAATATTCTGAACAGCCAGAGCTAGAATTCTGATTACCAGATCTTGCCATTGCCATGTGGATTTTTTTCAGAGAAACATTTTCATAGGGGCTACTAGATATCCCATTCACACAAGAATCATCACTCTAGCATTTTGCCACTAATATACTGTAGATTGCAAATCTCTTTTACCCTCAGTAGAAGTATTAGTTAAATGGCAAATACGTTTGCTTGTTTATTTAAAATATTCTTAAGCAACCTTTAAATAAACATCATATCACGGTGACCTACATGTATAAAATGAATACAATATTAATAAAACCAATATTAAAATAAACTTGTTACAAAAATGAAGAACACCATTTCCAAAATATTAAGTCAACTCCAGGCTCAGCTGGGCCATACAATTTACTCAAAGGAATGTTGTTGAAATAAATAAATGTTTTCTGTTATTTTTTATAAAATAGCTAGCAGTGATGAAGCCTGAAAAACTCTAGATGGTGAGGTGTTTTATAAGCATGGCAACATTTTGGGAAAAGGTCATCATCTTCGGTCTTAAAATGTTGAAACAGTTCATATAGATGAAGGCAATTTGATCCAAGCTTTAACAATCACTTTGAATTGGCTCAGAAACATACAGGTAACCACTGCAGCAGGTAGCATTATAAGGGTCACATATTCCAGTCACCTTACTTCACCAATATGCGGTTGTACCCTGCACCAGCTGAACTTCTAAGTCATGTAAAGCATAAGCTAAATCTGGATATCTCTAATGTATGTTCCTTACGGAAAAGTTTGTTTCACTAGAACCAATGCTTAGAATTTATCAGAGTTTATTATATGATGCTCTAAATCAGCAACACTTTGATGTCTGTGTTATAAACACTGGGTTTATCTTGCGTAACGTTAACGTTTAATATAATGCTCACAATTTGGTTTTAGGGTTTTGTTTTTGTCCTACAATTCATTCTGACCTCTCTCTATATTTTCTTTCTTTAAATTGTTGAATATGTATAAATTGCCAAATAAGGATATTGCTTCATGGATGTGTTGAAGTAGCTCTTAGTCCATAAAAGCTTTGTATCATAAAAATATTTGTGGTCTGAATTTTTTGTTGTTGTTGTTGTTGAAAGTGTGACAAGATGCTGACATTCCAGACAGAACTAAGACAAAGTGGTGCCTTCAAGTTATTTTGGATTACAATTTCCATGAGTCCCAGTCAGGATGGCCATTGGTCAAGGATGGTGGGAAATGCAATCCAAAGCATCCTGGAGAGAGACACTGGATTCAGTAGGCTGTAAGAGCACTTGCAAAACCAGCAAAATAGCATTGTATTTGCCAGGTCAACTTGGTCTCATTATTTAAATCAAGAGTAGGCAGTCCAGAGGTCACATGGACCCTCTTTCAGATCATGTCACAGAATTTCAGCAGTAACTGATGTGATTTTCTGCCAGTTTTTATTTTTAAACAAAGAAAATTAGTCTATTGCACATAAAACTAATGAGAGAGAAAGCAAACAAATGACTGAAAACCTCTTAGCCTCAGAGAGAGAAAGACTATATATCTGGCACTCAGAAAGGTGTCCACCATGAATGTTCACCTGATGTTCACATTGCAGTGGAAGAATAAAACAAACACATGATTCAAGTGTGCTTTTTAAAAAGTGGCAGTTTGATTATATGTTTTTCTTTCTGGTTTCTGTACTCGAAAGCCTAAACTGAATGTTTCAGCAGTATAGCTCATCAGGTCAGCGTAAGGAGGTGCCCAGTTTTAATCCCAGCTAAGAATGGCATCCATCTATAGCAGTGTTTCTCAGCGTCAGCAACTTTAAGATGTGTGGACTTCAATTTCTAGAATTCTCCAGACAGCATGCTGGCTGGGGAATTCTGGGAATTGAAATCTGCACATCTTACAGTTGCTGAGGTTGAGAAACATTGATCTGTACTATTCTTAGGATGCCCACACTAGTAGTCCTCACCACCTCATTTGAGCTACTAGGACAGCATTGCATAGTAGAGTTGCAACCTCTACTATAATTCAGATTGCTCTGCCTTGACATTTCTTGAAACCAACTAAAGATGCCTTGGAAGTACACAGCTGTCTGATCACATTTGAAAGTTAAAATGTAATCATTCAGATTCTCCACTAGAGAATTTCCCTCAAACTCAGTTGAGGTTATTAGCAATTCATTGATATTAGTACTGTATTTCTACCCTTCATTTTGAAGCTCATTATTTGAGTGCTCAGTTTATTTAAAAAATATGAAATAACTTTCCATGTTTAATTTCTACTTCTAGTAATCTTTAATTTCTCCACATATGATTAAGATACTGGAATGGTTCATGATATAACTAGAGCTGCTAATTTAGTCCAGGGCAGATCTACTTGGATTGGGCATACTTGAAGTTTTTCTTTGCTGGGAACTAATGCATAGAATGCATAGAATGGATTTCTTTTTCTGACAGCATTCCACTGCTCTTAACTGCTGGGGCCAGATTTAAAAAAATCCATAGTGAATTTTCCCAGAACTGTACTGGACAAAAGTTTCACCTGCTAAATTTCTTGTACATGGAGAGACAGCTATTAAAACCATACCATACGAGTGCTGCCTCTAAAATCCAGTAGGGACAGTCACTGTTTCTCAGTCTGAGTTTCCCATTTGTAAATTGGGATAAATTGGGATCTGGTGATTTATTGGCAAACAAGCTTTAAAGCACTCTTCTAGCTTTGAAGTGCTACATGGAAGTAGTGGAAGTAATATTTTACAAATGCGCAATGTGAGCCCTGCAGTTTTGTTTGGCAATTGTTTGTAGAGGCGAGAGTTTTATCTATGCCCAAATTAGCAGACAGCCGTAGCCACCAAGCTCCACACAGTAGGCTTTACAGATTGTACAGACATGGGGCTGTAAACAGCTTTAGCACAACCTCATTTATCATGCCATGGTCCGTTACCTCCCTAGCATGTTATTTTATGCTTGCTGAGCCCTAACACACCAAAGGTTGCCCGCTGTTTGGGAGTCACAGAACTGCCTGAGAGCATAGCGTAATGAATGCTCAGCTGAGTGGAGCGTGTTTCTGTTCATGCGGTGCTGTAATTTGTTTATCTGTCTAAAGATTATGCACTTGAAAATCTACAATTTGATGCTGCCTTTGTAAATTATCAAGTCGTTTTTGATGAATGTATCTCCACTTCCGATAGCAGTGGCATTATGAGCTTGAAATATTGGAAAGTGTTCATGCATGCAATGCAGAAGGTTAAGTGTGTGTGTGTGTAGATAGATAGATAAAGATACAGATTTCTAGGTAAGCATGCTAGGAAGCAAATGTGACCTTAAGCTTCCTTACTGCATTAAAAATAATTCAGTTTTAACTTTATAGTCCCAAATGTGGCTGTTTATATATAAAGTTCTTACCCGGTCAAACTTGACTTGATTACAGATGAGAGAAAGCTTGACGGTTTTTCATTTGAAATAAATTAGGGTGGTAAACTATTTGCAAGCACAGCTGCGCATGTACGTATGTTTGAAAGAACTGGGGAGAGACAGTGGGTTCCAGATTTAATTATCTCCCAGTTTAACCAGCCTGAGAAATTGCAAGGCAGTCTCCCTCTTAAGTGATTGCTTTAGCAAGGTCATTATGCTGGATAAACAAAGCAGACGGTTGGGGTGGTCGATGCAGTAGCGAAAGCTGTGTCGATTTCATTATTTGTCTGAAAGGAAGGGAATAAAGTGCCAGTACAGGACAGAAATAATGCTGGGTAGGAAAAAATAATGTTCAGCTGCAACTCATTTTGAGATGGATATGCATATATAAAAATTAAAAATTCTACTTAAGTCAATGGCAAAGCTATCATTGATGTTAATGTTTTCACTCTTCATTCTGAAGCTTATAGTTCTTTTAACATCTAGTTGAAAGCCAGATCCACAGAAATCAAAACTTAATCCCAAATAACTTAATCTATTTAGAAATAGATCTTGAAGAAGAAACGGTTCTTTCCATAAATGACATGAATATCACGTTGTTCCTTTTTCCCTCCTTCTAAATTATTTCCATTTTTTCTTCAATAGCTAACAAAATTTAACCAGAGTTCATACCTATTCTGGTAAAAGGATTAAATTGGAAGCATAAATCATCTTAATCAGTGTCCTAATAAATTAAGACTTTTAATGGTGAATGAACAATAGGAGTTTAAAAAACTAAGATTGACAAATGTTTCCAATAGAGACCGCAGGATTGAAAATACTCTAGGTGCTTTTGTCAATTTAAAAATAATATTAAAGTTACTCCATTCAAACCAGTTGAACTCAATGAGCCTTTCTACCACACCAATGTGGTTAGGTTGGAGGTGGATGCCTTTATGCTGGAGTGAATTCAATTTATTGTATATGAGGTTTCATCCTTAGTTCATGTACTAAAGAGAAACATAGGTTCATTAATTCAGAGTCACCTGTATTAAGATATTGGCCTATTTATTTTAATTAACTGACCAGTGAAAATCTTACAAGTTAATTGATTAATAGCTTTGATCTGTTGACAGTGCCTTATAGAATATGTATTAATGACTGCATCGTCAGAGGATAAGTGTTTCCAGCTGTGGTTTCAATTTAGCTAATTTTAACAGTTTTAAGACCTGTCATTTTTAAAAATCACTCAATGAAATAACATTGAAATGGGCTTTTGGCTGGATGCTAGCCAGATGCCCCTTTGCTAGTTTTAGAGAAGGCATGGAATGCAAGAAGAGCTGCTGAAATCCCCAGTTCTCTGTGGAAGCAGAAGCCTTCTCCTCTTGTATTTGCTGACTGGAAATTGTTTGCTGTGTAGTAACAGAACTGAAAAGTGTTTAAGTCAGTGCAAGTTTATGCTCTGTAGACTTTGGAAGAATAATGGGTGCATTTGGAAACTTCTTTGAATGCAGCAAGTTGCTTTGTTTTGAAGAGTGGGAGTGTGTCATTTTTAACATTAGCAATCCAAACTTGTATATGCCTCTTTAGAAGTAAATATCATTCTGTTCGATAGTCATACTTCCAGGATTCTGGTCAAAATATGACCTGCCCTCTTAAGTTCCTAAATGGTTGTGGATTAATGTCCAGGGCCAGATCTTGCAACAACTCACTGACTGAACTGCTTTTTCCATCTATGGCTAAAGTTACATTTAAGCCAAATATTGTAATAGTATCAGAGTGCGACATTGTAGTGATGCTATTCATATGACCCATATTTACAAATATAAATGCATTGTAAATAAATGCAAAACTATTCTTCAGTTAATTTGATTTATACAACTATGTTTTTGATCTCTGGGCAAATGCTTTCCACAAAGTATCAGTACTGACTAGAAGCTTCTTTTATGTTTCACTCAGTCAGAAAATGATGAACGGCAAGTGGTGTATGACCACATTGGACCAAACGTCTGCATGGGGGACCACAAGGTAACTTTATCTACTTCTGGTATGAAGACCCCAATGTATCTATGGCAGGTCAGGCAGGGTGGGACAGCTGCTGGGAAGGATTTTTAAGTTGGATCTGGAAAGACACTGACCTCTGGTTCATAACCAGGCAGATTATGGGCCTGGTGGGACAGGGAAGGCTGGGAAGGATTCTAGGCAGGGATTGTGCAGTTGCCCAGACTACTTACAGACACATTTTTTTAATGAGAATTATTCTGCATAAACTATTCACATAGTATTATGAAAAAATCCAGATAACAGTGTCCTGAATATGCAAACCACTCTTTATTTTTTCAAAACAGAAAAAAAATCCATTACAGGGGGGTGAAAACAGAATAGCTGTCCTATAGCTTTTTTGTGGCTGTTGTTAATACAGTACAGTGGTACCTCGGGTTAAGAATTTAATCTGTTCCGTGATTCTGGTCACAACTCGATTTGTTCGCAACCCGAAGCAAATTTTCCCATAAGGTTCAATGTAATTACCATTAATCC